TGGCCAGCAGGCCACGGGAAGTTATCCTCCCCCTCGAGTACTGTGTCCACCTCTGGGCTCCTCTGGGAACTACTGGAGAAGGCCCAGTGCAGGGCCACTGAGATGATTAAGGGCCTGGAGCACCTTCCATGTGAGGAAAGGCTGAGAGAGCTGGGTCTGTTTAGCTTGGAGAAGAGGAGGCTGAGGGGGGATCTCATCAATGCTTATCAATATCTAACGGGGGGGTGTCAGGAAGATGGGGCCAGGCTCTTCTCAGTGGTGTCCAGTGACAGGACTAGGGGTAATGGCCATAAACTGGAAAACAGAAGGTTCAACCTGACCATGAGGAAACACTTCTTCACTGGGAGGGTGACAGAGCACTGGGACAGGCTGCCCAGAGAGGTGGTGGAGTCTCCTTCCCTGGAGACTTTCAAAAGCCGCCTGGACTTGTTCCTGTGTGATCTACTCTAGGTGATCCTGCTCTGGCAGGGGGGTTGGACTAGATGATCTCTAGAGGTCCCCTCCAACCCCTTCCACTCTGTGAATCTGTGTGATAAGAGACCCAGGACCCCTGAAGTGTTCATCAGTGGAGTCTTTTAAGACAATCCTTGTTACCCATATCAAAGAAATTTGGGGAACAGTTGTCTGAGTCAACACTTTTGCAAAAAAAACAACCCAGTAATTTCTACAGAGGAGTGACAGAAAAAAATCTAATTTTAAATACAAGAATTTACAAGACTATTAATATTCCAAAAGATTACTTTGATAACCGAACTTTCACTTTTTTTATATTACACTTAATTAAGTACCTAACAACTTCCAATAAGAAATCTCTTTGTAAATTCAATGAAAACTCTTTCAACCTCCAGATACATCATGCATGCATGACTAAAGATTAAAGAAAAAAAATACTCTTTGGACTACTTCAGATGCTAGCAACAAATTTCAATTTACCTGCAGCTAAATTGAAGAAAGTATAATTTCCCAAATCAGAAGCATAATTTTTAAAAAAAAAAAAAAAAATCTCATTTTAGTATATTATTTTACATTGTTACTGCATATAGTAATACACAACATACTCACAGCTTTGAAAGCGAGTTCCTCCGGTGAATGTGCTGCGGGATATACTTCATACGTCTGCTCTGGAAGCATAGGTGTTTGCAGCGAATTGGCCACATAAGGACTGACCTTTTTCAGTGTAATTTCAACTCCATTGAAAGTGTGCTATCAAAAACAAGAACATCTCACCACCGAAACAAAATTTTGCAGGAAGTTAATACCTTATTTACAACAGTTTCACTTGCTTACAGGGATTTCAGCATTAAAGGAATAAGTTAATAAATTCAAAAAAGTTTGTGTTCCCAGACTCAAAGCACGTTGCAATTTAGTTTTTTGCACTCATGGGTATGCCAGCATCGTCAGGGGGTAAATTAACAGGTATTTCCACCTTCATGTTACTGTAGCTGGAATTTTTCTTTACTGCACAGTTTCTTAAAAATTAAAACATGTTAAAGTAAGAGATAAAAACTACCCATTCCTTCCTCTGCTTTCCAATCTGTCACAAGGTTAACAAATCAAATTCCTCTCTGGGGTTTTGATGGTAATTGTCGAACTGATCTTATGGACTATGCAATTAGTTCAACGATGGTAGTAGCCTAATATTAAAAAAATCATTGAGAAAATATTTACTTATGCATAAAAGTGAACTAAATTGTCATGCCTGGATACAAAATTAAAAATCGTACTTCTCCTACTCATTACTTTATGCTGCTGGTCTCCAAGATATCATCTATTTATCAACAGATTTTTTTATTCTATTCATGGAAATCATACATTGCTGCACTTCCTTTGAAGAAACGGAGTTTAAAAGCTCAGGACATGCTTGATGACATGAGTACTGAATAGAACATCCTAAACGTAATTAACACTGCCTTTGCAAATCTTATTTATTGGCTATGACCCTCATAAAACAAGTTATAATGCAGTTCTGAAAAGGTAAATTCTACTATACTTCAAGGGCTAGTTTGACAGCCTACATCAACTTAGCTATGGCCAGATTATCACCTTTTCTGGTTAATTTGTATCATACTTTGTGTTTAATTTGCAGAATCTGTATGCATACATTCCCATACAAACTCTTCATCAATTAAGAAAAGGGCTGGGGGAAATCTTTAGAAAGCCAGTAGTACTAAAAATCCTTCTTAAACGGCTAGTTTAGATGCTTCTAGAAGCAATCACTGCTTCTACCAACCAAGACATACTGTTTTCCCCATGTAACTCCTTCCTCTAGCAAACACAAAATTTTCAGAATTTTTCTTGTCATTCCAGCATATTCCCACTAACTCCTTATTAGTTACCTTGCATTCATCAGAATCTGACTCTTCCATCTTCTGAAGTTTTTCTAACAAAGGCAATATACTGGCACTGTATATATTCCACCAGAGGGCAAGAAATGACAGCTGATGAAAAGATCCAGAGGTGGTGCCATCCTGCATAACTCTCTTTGTCTGAAGGTTGTATTTGTAGTTCCAGGGCTTTGTTGCTCCCAAGAAGTGAACAACTTTGGCATCTCTCCCAAAACTGTAGAGATTAAACATACAGGGCTATACATTAAGTATTTTCCTTTCCAGCATACAAAAACTGCTAAAGAAACATGCTTGTTGTCACTGGTGAGGTAATACCGACATTTTGCAGCAGCAACACATTCAATATGAGTATATACGTTAATATCTTTTCTCATCTTATTAAGGTATCGTGTTTAGCATACAGAAAACAAAAGACTGTATTGCCATTTGCTTCTAGCTGCTGATTCTGGTAGAAAAGGTCATGAAGGAAAAGTGACCAGTTCATGCAGGACCATATTCAGTCTTCCTGCCTCAACTGTTCACAAACAAATTGGTTATTACGGATCCCATATTAAAAATTGCTAACAAATACATCTTCCTGAGTTCACCTTCCAGTAAGAGTGTTTTCTGCAAATGGAACAGTAATTCATGACAACCTAAATCTTCTTGGAAGAACCTATGAAATGATTGGGAAAAAAAAAAACCAAAACAACCACAACCACAAAAACCAACCACACATCAAAACAACTGTTTCCCATAGAACTGACTGGAAAAGAAGGGAACATCTTTCAAAGTAAAGCTGTCAGAACCTAGTGCTAAAGTAATCTACACCTTTTAAAATATCAGAAAAGCTTCTCTAAAACAACATATGAGACAACGGAGCCAACTCTGGGACTCTGTGTCCATATTCAAGACATTCATATTGCATTTAAGTTTCTACTGCATGAGTTTTACACAACACCATTTCTGACCACTGTAATTTATAATTGCCAGCATATGCCATTATTATTCTCTCAGTCAGAAGTGTTACTACTTACTGATTGAAAGCAGAACAGCACTGCTGCTCAAGTTATAGAGGAAAGGCAAGTGTTTGTCAATATCTGCTGTTGCCCAGTTGCTGAAGAAGCTATTCAACAAGCCTTGATCACCCCCTAAAGAACATACAAAACAGTATTACCATAATTACGTGTACACTGAAATTCACGTCAGAAGTTTACATCCAAGGATGGGAGTGAGACTGGTGTGTTTATGGCACTGCAACTTGGACTTGGCAACATGGTCAAGTGAGCAGGTACAAGTGAATAATACCTGATCCACTCCGATGCAAGTTCAGTGTAAGTGGATTCCTATTGCAATACATGAAGAAAGGAGTAGGAAAGGGTTTTGGTGTCCCTCAGAGCAGAAGACGGAAGACCAGCTGCATTTCTCTCTCCTAAACCAGACAGCAAAATTAAAACTTCCTGAGCAAGACCCAGATGCAGTGTCCCTTCACTGCCCTTTTCTGGGAAGCACAGTCCACAGTAAGTTGATGAGTCTTAAATACAGCAGAAGAGGCAAAGGTCTGCACCTTAAATCTTTGTGGGGGCACAATTTTGTAAAGCCCAGAGAACTCCTGCCTTCCTCTATTCTGCCAGACAGCACGGAAGCTATGGAGAAACAGCTTATTGAGATGGAATCGACTGCCTTGCACTTCACCCCTTACCATCAAAGCTGCCATGTTCAGCAGCGAACCGGAGCAGTAGGTTGTAGGTTTTCAAAGAAGGTCGGAACACAAATACACCACTATTGAAGCAGTCAGGCCAGCCAGAATCAGGAGCTGCCGAAAACTCTTCTCGATCAAACAGTTCATCAACGTTGCAAAGCACCTTAGAGACAGCAGGAAGAAAGAAAAATTGTTAGAGCAAATGCTTGTCTAGAACCCGAGTTGTTAAATCGGTACCAACAGAGTAAATTCCAAGTACAGAGCTTGCAGAGCATAAAAGCAGTGGCAATGCAAAATACGCTAAGCGTCAGAACCTCTGTTTTTAAAATAAGGCAACATTGATTCTGGTTGTCTGTGATTTCTCTGATAAAAGTGCAAAGCCCGTGAAATTATCCCACAAACCTCGGAGATCCTCCAGAAGGTCCCTTTTAATATTTCTGCACACCATGTCCTTCTTTCCTAGCTCACTTTCCCACAGTCCACTATTCTCAGTAACTGCAACAGAGCTCAAGGAAAGCTGGGAATCCAAATAGTTTATCAACTGACTGACTAAAGGAGTAGCAGAAAAAACATCTCTCATTAAACTAACATTTAAAAAAACTAACATTTTTTAATGTTAGTTTATCTCAGCGGTTTGCTTTTTAAGCTTTACAGGGAAGCAGGGAAAATCAATCAGGTTAAGGCACAGATCACTTTTAAAGTTGGTGTGAAGATAGCTGTGCCACCGCTGAAAGTCTGGAACCCACCCACAACTGAGCCACTGTGACAAGCAGGAGAAGAAAAATTTTTTAGGAGAAAGATTACTTTATTGAATTTAAAACAGGTATTTACCTTCCTCCTTTAATGTAAAGCAGGAAATCACAAGCCTCCCTCCCTCACCTCATAAGAATAACTTAATTTCATTTCTACTTCAAATACAATCCCATGAAATTAAAATGCATCCCAGTTTTCCAGTGAGCCATGTAAGTGCAAGGGAAGGCTGACATTATTATCCTTGCCAAAATGATGACCATTTTTATTTGTTAGAGTTACTGAGAGAAAAGATTTTTTCAAAGTAACTTCTGGGCTTTTTTTTTTTTTTCATTATTCTAAGACTGGCCTGCCTTCTGACCAGAGTAAGTTCAAACCAAAGCATATGAGTGCACTCTATTTTATACATCCATCAGAAGCCCATTTGCCTGGAGTGAGTTTGTGGTTATCTTTTGAGGACAGTCCTGAGGTTACTCTCAAACCAGGATTTATCTCTCTGCAGCCGGGAGAACCATGAGCATTGCCAAAACAAGCCACCTGGAGCTCCTGCGGCCTTGTGACCACCGGCAAATGTGGTCACTTCACCGGCTGGCAGGCTGCCTGACGAGGAAGCATCCCACACTCAGGGCAGCACAAGCATTTCCACAGCTCCCGCTCTACTCACCAAAGTGTCTGCATCCATGAAGACACATTTGCTGTAATGAGTAAGAGTCCAACAGTGAAGCTTAGTGAAGGTTATTCCCAGTTCTGGCCTCTGCATAAGAGCCAAATGGACCGAGTCAGCACTGTCAAGCACATCCACCTCGATAACTTCGTCAAACACGCTACGGAGGACAGACCTACCAGCACAAGCCATGGAGGGAAAGAAAAGAGCTTCATCAGAGTTCACTCACGGCATGGAAACAGTGGCATACAGCACCATATTTATTATGGCAATAACAAAGGCTAGATCGATTGGTTAGAGTGAGAAGTCAGAATTGAAAAGCCCTTGTAAACAGCCTGCTGAAGTGACAGCTATCAATCAGGCCATAAACCATCGCCTCTTCTGCTACGGGACCAGCACATCTCAAAGTGACAGGTGCCGGACACAGAAGAAACCAATCCTTATTTTAGTTACTTAATCTCCTATAGAAACACCAAGAGACATTAAAGCAGCTTTCATCCTTCACGGCTGTCTCTGAAGAAGAGCACCCCACTGTGTGCCCTCCTTGTGCACTGCACAGGATGTGGCACATGCTGCCAGCGCAGGCATTTGCACCCATCGTGCCCAAGTCAACACCAGTGCAAAACTGCACCTTTTCAAACAGGCAACATATGCTTGCTCGCTACTGCAAATCACCTCAAATGCGACTTTTAGGAAGACAACCTTTTTCTATGCATATTTTTCAGTGAATTTTAGAGGTAAGTAGGTAATTTCCCTTCAAGATGCAAGAAAACACTCTTTTAAACACAGCTTATTTATTTACATTACACTATTAACTACAAACTCCTGGATGTTCTACAAACACAGAAAAGGAAAAGCCTGTGCTGATTATCTAGATTTCAGAGTCATTTGCTTTTGATTGACTGATCTTCAAGGGCCAGGATTTAACTGGGAAAGAACTAAGAGTAGGTACAGATTTTCAGAAGCATAGCTCAGTGATGTACTTTTCTGAAAAGTATCTGATTAAAAAAAAAATATATATATA